AGGCTTATTATAAGCACTCCTTATATGGTCAACAAGTCTTGGACGTAAACAGTAGCAGATGATAACCTACACCAAATAGAGGTGAAGCATACAAACCTTAATAGTCCGGTACAAGAGTAATAGAGGTTTATTCTTTAAACAAAACAACCTTCACAACTGTAGCATTTTCAAAAGTGAAGTTCATCAAAAGTGCTGCTTTATGCCTTGCTCAGATATACCAAGCAAACTAAATGTGTAAAATTACGACAGCAGCAGTCAACCCACCCCCTCCCCCACCCAACTGTTGCTGGTGGAGATCTGATGCAGAATAATGATTGAGATAGGCGAGTTGAAGATTATATACTTACTGCATCAACTCTAAGTTGCTGCGTTTATAGAAATTGCCATTGCCCCACAAAACTTTCAGGGAATAAACATACCTCACTTTTAATAATCAATGAATTTGATAGAGAATTTGAGTGTCAGATTCACTAGCTTCAACAAGTATATGCTCACTTTAAATATCGAGTGTTGAAGGAAGTTCTGTGATTTTATCCAAGATATTCAACTACACTGAAAAACGAGGTGAAGGGGCTTTCAAATTCCTAACTTTGTAGTCACAAACAAGCTTTATATTAAAATTCTTGAAAAACTAGATATTATATATATAAACATCTATCAGGTGTTCAGTTGAACCAGATGTAGCAAAAGGCTGTTTTCCTAAGTTTTCAATTTTACATTTACACAAGGGTCTTCGGCAGAATGGATACGGAAACCCCGTTCGAGAACTGCTTTCAAGAACTGTACTATCTACAATCCACTGACGAATATAAGTTCAAACTTGTCAATATCAGCAACTAGTACTACGTGTAAAATGACAAATTGTAGCTTTTCGAGATGATAAAAACTCCAGTCCTGATACTAAATAAAGGATGGTTCTATCTACAGGATGAAGAGATTCTATGATATCTCTCGATTTAAAAACGATGATATCAAGAGATAACAGAAGTTATTGAGATAAGAATCACTAAAGAGCTCAGAGAACTCCAGTAAAGACAGCTGACTGGCAGCAAAACCTACAATAGACTTAAATTTATAAGATCCTGTCTCGCTATCAAAGTATGGATGGTCAAAGATACGTAAGGCTGATGTGCCGATGTGACTAACTCTATGGTCAACTCACCGAAGCGCAAACTTTCTTACTGATGGTAGCAAAAGTTAGAAATGATTTGCTGAAAGTTGTTAATACGGACTTTTGATTTTTTTTTTTGGTTGAAAAAAAAAGTTAAAAACACTGGATAAGTTGATTGTACTGTACACCTTCACAACTTTATTAGTAGAAATCCCTATTCATAAAATAATCAACATAGTCTGCGAACACATGGAAGAAGTTCCGCTGTCAAAGTTAGTTTAGATGTCTCTTGCTTAGATGAATCAAAGACAGTCGACTTTTAATTTAACAGTGTTCTAAATAGATAGTTAGAATAGTGATCGAAAGTCTACTAAGATCATTAATACCAGTATCTTTGCTACATCTACAAAGCACAATGCTCAACTTCATCATCGACGCATTTTATTGAAGTGTGTTGTGCGAAAATATTCAACTAACAACAAAGCTGTTCTAGAGGTTCAATAATGCCGACTTTAGTATTGAAATTACAAATGTATACGATGAGGAACGTTGGGCTAAGCTTTTTCGCTTTACACATAAAACTTTAAAAGGATGGCGAAATAGAGACAAGTATGAACCATCAAACTGCTTCAAGCTGTCAATACTTAAACTTTAACAGCTTCATCTGATAAGTTACAATGAAAGTTTGGCAAGAATGCTATGATAAAGAGCAGAAAAATTTTACTCTAAAGAGATGGCAAGTAGAAATTAAGCAGATTGAACACTGTCTCAGTAACAACTGGTATTCGGTGAATTTCATGCAAAAAATACTGAAAAAATAAGACCATAGTACGACATTATGGAAAATAAACCAATGATTTTAAAGTAGTCAAGCTCCAAAGAGAATTAACAGACGAATTAGGAGTGCATTATTCAATTTCGAAGGTTGTCTGATTGTATTAAACGACGAGTTTAATTGTATACTCTATATCAGATTATTTTCTGACTATCGATAACTCGAAGTATACTTATCAATTCAAAAGTACATATGGAAGTAAGTATGTAGGAGGGGGGGGGGGGCGGGGCGGAAAGATAGCTGTTTATCAGGATTTTTAGATAAATATAATAGCCTACACCTTGGAGACTCATTCATTAATGTGGAGATTATACTAAGACTACCACTAAGCTTTTGAACTTTCTTTTATAGTTTTAGGGATCCTTGTTTTGTTTTTACTCAAAACGACGAAAGAAACAACGCTGAAAAATGAATATTGGAAGTGATGTGAATACCTTGGTGTGATGAACAAATTGTATTTAAAACGTAATCTAGTAGATAACACTGTATCACAGTGTTATATCAAACAAAAAAAACTAACATAGAGTGACATTAAATCACAGTTCTACTTTTAAATCAATCTTCCATTTCTTCTCACAAGCGATGGTCACTAGCAAGCTTATTCGCCTGTCCTTCTTTAGGAGTCAAAGTATATCTTTAACTACATATGAAAATAACTCTGTTTACAGATGAATAATTGTCAATACAGAACTGAGGTAGATAACCACACAATGAACACCTTGTTAATGAGATTTTAAAGATACTTCCCAGGACTTTTTTTCTTTGACTTAGCCCTTCTATTCGCAAGTTGATGTTATCAGATAGTGACAGTGTATTCGAGTGTTTCCAGCATTAGCATCTTTTGACGAAATTTATGCGTCACATAATCTATATATCATAATAAATGAGTAAGCGTAGAATATACATGAATGGCATATCACTGTTTCTTTGATATCATACAGAAAAGTCTAACTGAACTGCCAACATATGACTTTCAACTGGGATCCAGTTAAGTGAACATTATTCTCAATGGATTAATGGTATCCGAATCATCAGCAATTCTCTAGCGACTAGTAACTGAATGTATTGTCATTTGAAGTATACGCTACACTGATTCTTCATATATATTAGTTTAAGTAAAGTGAACAACCACACTTGAATATTGCACGATTGTCTTAAAAACGTGATAAATATCCATACTTCAAATCACTAAAGTTTTACCTAGTAGATCGTACAGTCCTTTTTGATATTATATAGAGACTGAAAGGTTCAACGTGCAGAAGTCAAATTATTTTGAAAAAAAATCAAAAATGGTATTTCGCTGGCTTGAAATCTTGGCAACGGTTTCAGAGTAAAAAGCTGGAGAAATTATGGAATCTTCATTTGTTAGTAATGGACAATAATGAATAAAAAGGGAGAAATATAGCTGAGTATGGCTTACACCTACTTTATATGGACTAGCAATGCAGCTTGGCAGTTCAAACTTAAGCGGACTGAAGGAACTATAAACAAGAAACCATACTGGTGGTAATTCAGTGCTTCGGTCACTGAATCATAGCTGGAAAAGATGGCAAAGATTTTACAATTAAGTGAACTGAACACCTGAACAGAAAATGGAGGTGACGTTAACTGTGCTATCTGAATCAATAACAAGTTGTGGTTATTAATAAAAGTCAACCAAAAGTATGCCCACAAACAATGCTAATCTCAAATTAAAAAAATTTCCAAAGAGATATTTCAAAATGAAAAAAAATACTTGTTGATAAACTCCTCCAATCCTTTTCGTCGTTCTTCAATGAAATCCTCGTCGAATATACCTTCATCCGCTCGAAAAGGCAACTGACGTTTCCATGCTTTGCTTGGTAAACGAGGAACAACAATCTAATAAATAATAAGATGATTTCAGCGTCACTTAACAAAACGCATTATATTGTATTATAATAATTCTAAACAATATGAATATAATCAACAAATAGATTAATTAGACAGGAAAATAAACAGAGCTTACTGAGCGTAAAAGAAGTCGGCTACGAAGTACATGTCTAAAAACTCAATAATAAATCATACCTGTTATGAGCTATTACACCATTTGGTCGCATCTGAATAGTTTCCAACACGAAATCAGACAGTTAAAAATAGTTTGTTTAAAGTATATATATATATATATATAACTCACGTAAAAGTGACCAAGTTGGTATGAGCAAGAAAGAGGAAATATCAGTCAGGTGGATGCATGAAAGGTGAAGTTAAGAAAAAGTGACGACTGATTAATCTGTAACTGACACTGAGTAAAAGGATTATTATGAACATAAGTGAGGAAGAACAGCACAAGGAGGATGTCAAAATATTACCTATTTGGTCAAGATAAGAGAGTTGGAACTGTGGCTTAGTGGTTTAGGGAGATGACTACCAACTATTGGGTTATGGGTTTGAGCCCCGCTCCACCTACCGAGGTTCGAGCACCCAAGTAGTATCACTAGTTCTCACACAATAGATGTGGCTCATTGTCTACTGCACAGATGTGCACAAGATAGCTAAGTGCGTTTCTTTAAGACATTTGGATTAGATGTGCTATTTTACTTTCCGAACAGTGATCATTGTTAACTCAAATTCTAAATACATGTTAACAAAAATATAGCCCAGAGTGTGATTACTCCATGATAACATACGATAGCGTAAAAAAAACACTGGTAATTTTCCTCGTTGAGTTGCTATCACGCCTTATTTGTGTTTACACATAAAAAACTATCATGCTTTTGCATTGACTGAATGGTTTTCCATTAAAAGAGAAACTTTTTAAGTGACTATTTACAGCACTTTCCTTTCGTATGATTCTAGTCAACTACATTTTCTTTTTCAAAATGGTCATGTATCCTAGCGTTTTATTCTATCTTCAGGTGGTATTAACTTAAAACTGAAAGATTTCTTATGGTTCACAATTCATGCAGGAAAGATTGTGGAAGATTTAGTTGACCCTTTTAGCTGAACACTAGCATAAAATGTGATGAGTAAATAGGAATCGAAAAGCATCTTTCGCCTACAGCGTATGGAAGCCGCAGTAAGTTGGAGGTGCATCTGACGCTCCCGATGATGAGAATCTAACACTCATCCCTAAGTGAATGGCGAACTTTGTACCGAAGCATATGACTGAAGAATGGAAACGTTGGAGATTACGAAGGTGGCAACAATATGACAGATGTGAATAAGTAGGTCACCATACTGTTAACAGCGCGATGTGTGAGAGACTGAGAAACACCCTTTAAAAGCTACCAAAAAGGAGTGGTGGTAGGACTATATATGTAAGATCATGCATCGTAAATCGAGTTTCACCGCGTTCTTAAATACTCGAAAAAATGTACTCAAGAAACACATACACGTGTCTCTGTAGTAGGCAATGAGCCACACCTATTGTACAAGGGCTGAAGATACTACCTGGCTACCGAAACCTCGATAGGTGAAGCGGGTTTCGAACCCATGGTCCACTGATTGGAAGTCATGCACAAATGACCCATAGCTCAGTTTTTCGAATACTGAGTGCCAGCAAACAAAATACATTACTTTCCGGTAGAGAGACCATATGGAATTCAGACAGTGGAACTGCCTGAAAGCACCATTGGAGCTATCTAATTCATGCGAGTTTCACATTGCGAAAGGTAAAACGAGTCAGGTACAAGCGCTTTAAAAAAATCAAATAGGAAAAATTTCAGTTTTAGGTGATAAATGATGAAAAAAAATCACGGGGAACCAGCTTCTGTCCTTAGTGACTCGGACAACTGGCACTAAAACAATAATAGGCAGATGAAGATGAAATAGGTTACAACTCAAAAACGTGGATTACTGCAGTAAGTTCTTTACTCTATATAGAGTTGAATAAAGCGTGCTCTTAGAACTTCACTCTAACTTTAAACATGACTTCAATAAAGCTGAAAGCATTTTGAATAAACTTGTACTTGATATATAGAGTGATCCTTCTTATATGTATGAACTGGGGAAAATGAAGACAGACAACCAAAAGCAGATGGCGTTTACCCACAGTCATGGCCCAATTCACAGACGAAAGCATATATACTAAGGTGCAACTGAAGTGATGGAGAATGCTCGTAGCTCAGGTGGATGATATTAAAGTTAGTGCTGACGTTGTTTAGACAGAGAATGAAAGCTTCATAACTAAACCACCCATTAATATAGGAGTAAACTCGGTCACTGTGGTAGCTTGTAATTCCAATTAATTCTGTTTGTTAGAGACGATACACTGAAACAGTATCATTTACTGGATAACATTTCGGACATAATTTACTGTCAATATTCATATCATGTAACTCCACAACTACATAAACCACTCAGCTCAGAGAAAGCAAGGCAACTATGATTTGTAAGCTGTTCCGACATATCACGTAAACTAAGTGTACGAAAATCAAAAAGGAAAAATTAGGTGCTTTAGAAAGTGCTAAAAGAACTTCTATTTTTCACTGCCGAGTTAATTTAAGGGATCTAACCTGCCGCTATCTAAGCAGAGATTAAAAAGCTATTAAAGATGCCACAATATGTTTTTAAAAACCGCTTTTGGACATCCTCTAAAATGATGTCCCACAAATTTTATTAGTGTGACGGACACGATATTAGGAAACAGTCAACTAATAGAAGACTGAGTACTTGGGTAGCTCAATTCTTTCTCCAAAAGAGCATGGACTTAAAAGTTACTCATGTTTCAAAAACCTACTGGTGGCAATGGATGGTTAATGTGACTTACGATATAAGTTGTCTGCAGATGTGTTCCTTACTAACTACAGTAAAGCTTTCCATAAATCTTTACTTTAGGTAGTGAATGAAATTAGACAATATTAGGATTGTAAGTATCTTCACCCCACAATTAGAAAACTTCACCTAGTAATGGTAATAAGTGTGATTAAGGCCTTAAAATCCCAGTTTGAAGTCTATGCAGTGTGAAGTTTCTAACGAAAGCCTTACAAAAAAGATATTTTGCTTCTTTGTCAGTGGTCTGTAGGGTGTCACCATGTCCTCAACCGTATTATACACGAGTTTTAACGTGTGCAGAATAATACAAAGTGTGGAAGACACTACAGACTTTTAGACGAATCAAGTTGCACTGACGAAGCAGACCAACTGAGAAAACGCCAATAAATGCAGGTAATTATTCACATGACATGTTGATCATCAGAGCAGAAACGAGTTACGAGACACCAGACAGTTACAGCTATTTCTGATCTGAGAACCACTAAACACTCCAGGACAATTGGTGCTATCGGTTTTAAAATGTTTAAGGAAATATGTGCAGGGTCTGTAGCCCGTTTACAATGCTACATACTACGGTCTTATATACAATCACCTAATTTCTATTTACAAACCGAGCCTTGAAGAACGTTCAAAGAGCTGCATCAAAATGATGCGACGAACTACTTAACATTCATATAAGAAAACGTTAGATAGATCAGATCACATTCGTCCCATCTAATCGTCTCTAATACTTCATAATGGTCTTGGTTTCGATATGACCACTTTTTCCCTCTAAGAATAAAATTTAGTGTCAAATAGAAAAATTTCACTCACAAACAGTAACCTGTCAGTCGACTGTCGAACACACTCATCAATACTTTAATACTTGGTAAACATATTGAGAACCAGACTAGACCACATAAAAAATTTCCAGAGTTGTGTTCTTAGTCCTTAATTGTGTACCTTCAGCACATGTAATCAGCTTTTGTAGCATGGCTACACTTAGCTGTCACTAACTTTTCTTTCCTTCATAGTCCCTGGATGCATCCACAGGATGCCACGAGCAAGAGATAACTAAATCCATCTCAGAAGTGATTAACAGCCAGATTATTGACATATTACAAAGCAGTAATAAAATGACTAGACAATTACATATGGAAGCCATGACACATAACTAAATTCAAAAACGCACTATACATTGGTGTGAATATTTCCATATCTGAAACAACTCCTTACATAGATCATCAAACAATCAATAGTTCACCAGTAAAAGATTATCATTGTACGTTATAAGACTACTCAGGTTTATCAGCCACTTTACGCAAGGTACATCCACACGAATATACGAGCAAGCAATATGCTTTCATCTCATTCGAATGCATGACACAGCATACAAAACAATCACCAGTTTATTAGGTTAACAACTCATTCCCTGGCGCTACAAACGACTAGACAGGTACACATTCAAATAACGATAGTCTATCACCGTTACCTAAAACTTCGGAATTCGCAGTGTAACCACGCCCAAGTTACTGTCACACTCTTAACTCAATCCGATTACAGTTAACTGATATCAAAAAGACCACCATAACAGGAGTGCAGCAGAGTTTGAGCTCACCAACTAATCGATTAGATTCAATACACCTAGACCACAAAATTGTAGGTTCAACTGCATGCGCATGTAACTTTATCATACCTTGCTCTCTCGATCTAACTCATCACGTAACCACTGAAAATCGCTGTAGCGACGACGGACAGATGATTCCTTGTGGGCAAATATTGGTAGGTTTGTCTGGAATAAATGGAAGCTTAGATTGTTGGTAAATTATACCCTTAGATTAACTTCGTAGTCTGTGAAGCGGTGCTTTCCATCTCCATGGGTAAGTGGACGGCACACATCAATCTCCAGAAAATTTGCTGGTGGCGAATATGCATCTTCGATTGTCTGCCTCCTAGGAACTAATCTTTGAGTGGCAGAGGTTACAGTTGCGGGGGTTTCAATCATAGCGCGTCTTAGGACTACTGTAAGATTAGAACTTCAATGTTACAAACTTGTTGTGTGAACGGTCAATATGCTTCACGACCTAAGACTATCAGCTGTACATACTTTGCCGTCTACCTTAGTTAATACCTCACCTCTAGTGTTACTTGTCAGCATTTTTACATAAGACATATTATGCTGAAACAACTGGACTCAAAACTTTAGATTATTCCATGTCAAATACCCCCTAATGCCTAATCGATGTTGCCAAGTTGGCTCAGCTAAGTACTACTGAAGAGTCATTATACAGCTTGATACCCACAAGAGACATTTTACATTCCTATCTACGTGCAGTGGCATCTGCGTAACAGATTGGTGGTAGTTGTTTGACCATCCCTTTTACAATAATCCTACCATTTTTTTGCTTTTGCTTATAAGCGATATCATGTGGCTTCTCCTATGTCATGTTTCAGGTGGTTTCAAATGGCTGTTAGCGGAACAGATGCTTTCTTATAAATGGGTTCAGCGTCTAATATCAGCGTACCACCGGTTCCCATGTCTCAGAACCTATGTGTTGAGGTGAAGAATAAGTAGAAACAAGGACAGGTTATTGCCGACTTAGTATGGAGGCTCATGCTAAGACTATAAGTGTATATTTCGCTTGTTTTTGTAGTCTTCGTTCTAATGATGTAGTCCGGACAACTTCTACAAGGACAACAACACCAGTCTTAAGGACGATGAAGAAGTGAAAGTTACCCCTACTGTCCACCTACTGCGTCAAAATCTCAGTTTCTGGGTGCGCTATGTGACATTAACTCTGGGGCTTAGCAGAAGAAAATGCTGAGGAAGATAGCTTGAAGTGAGTAAAATCCAGTAAGTCATTATTAGGTCCCTCTTTAGTCACCTATGTTCCAAGATCAGGTGCTGCCACACTTTTTTCTCATGACTTCAACTTCGATCCACGTGCCGATCTATTACAGTTAGTCTCTATACTTTAAAAGTGAAAGGGGAAGATGAAGGCTCGAAATTCTAGATGGGGGTGACTGAAAACGTTCAAGGTGTGGTGGAAACACCAGTAATCAAAATGTCCAAAGACCAGCCACATGTTACAACCGTCAGATTTCAAGGGTGGTACACAGTGAGTGGCCACTGGGTATAGTAAGTGTCGTGATTCATTGTCCTGACTGCTGGAGGAATTCCATGGATCAAGTTTCCAAAGTTTTCACCGCTCTTGTCTGTACTACCCACTGACGCCATGATACTTTTGAGATCGCTGCAGACCACCTGTGGGGTAGTCTTCTGCTTATCTGCTTTCCCAATAAGTGCCAAAAGGAGTAAAAACGAATGTCCAGGCTTCCTGAAGATTGTTTCCAATACAAGGTGTTTCACCGCAGTATGATTCGATGTATTTCGACCATTCATGTGGTATTGTAACATCAAAATAGTTTCCCTAAATCAACAACCCAATGCTCGGTGGTTTTCGAAATTGTTACTGACACCCTTAGTTTGCATGCACTGGTCACTATTCATTGACCAGGTATCGCACGTATCTTTGTTTATTGGCATGATTCTACAGGTATGAGATTAATAGTTGGCTGTCGTGGGGACTCGACGCCTGCGGAAAATAAGTGATTAGCCTCTGAGTTCCCCCAGACCACGCATGATAACTTCAAACCGTCGAGCTCATCCCCCTCCTGTGGTTGTGCATTTTCTCATGCCGATAGTCTTCTTGCTTGCACTTTAGGTTTTCGTGTCAATGTGCGACTACAATTCCTAACTTGTCCACATTAAACCGAATACGCAACCTATTCAACTGGTGTCATTCTAGTCAGATAAAGTAGGAACGTGGTGTTTGTGTACGAAGCCCGATTTCCAGGAACAGGAGGCCGAAAATACTCCTTAATTCCTTGCCGTTTAACAACCGGCAGCGTGCTGATCGGACATGAGTGTTTCGTGTGTACCTCTTCACTCTTGACGTTCGTGGGCAGCCAGGCGATGGGCCAACGAAACAGCCTGTTAAAATGATTCACAAATGTGGGCTAAGTGGAGATAAGTAAAAATGCGAACGTACATAGACACTTTTCGTTGTTTCATGTTGTTCTCAGAGCAATTCAATAAAATTATCGTGCGGGAAATCAGAACTAGTGATTCATTCTAGAACGGAGAACAGTCTTGTTTACGGCGATCAATGCCCAGAGAGTTATGGCTATCAAATGTCTGTGGAAAACCATGGTGTCACACACCCTGATGTGCTGGTCGGGTTAGCAAGTCACAACGGCATTACGAGCTATTATGGTAGAAAGCCTTTTCCTTCGATGTCCTACCATTCCAGAAAGGTTCAGTGAGTAGTGGCAAGATGAAGAACAGTTATCATTACCGTTGTGGTGCAAAACTACCACACTGCGACGGGGATCAGGGAGAGAAGTTGTACTACTAGCCGCACAGGGTGTGGTAGCTTTAAGATATTTCCCCCGAACGGTCAGCGGTGCCACACCTGTACTGCCTTCCCAACGGGAAGAGGGGGTTAGAAAAGAAGGTCCCAGAATGAGAAACCTCACCCGCTCCACTGTCTTTTGGTGCCAACGGCACGGGTTTCTCCCAACCGGCGTTGGAACAACGAGCACCCTGAAACGGCATGCCGTAAAATGCCGTTGTGTCAGGACTCAAACAGGTGCCCCGTGGGTCTTGCGATCCCTTTGTTTTTCAAGTGCTTTGCGAAGAAATAACCTGGCCATGGTGTGGGTGGTTGAAACCCCCCACACGCTCTCAGTAGTATACAAGACCCAGTCAAGCATAGTCCACCCTCCCCAACTCTTTTTCCCTTGCCTTCACTCAGTAACACTTATGCCAGGCCCTATGTCTTCCGCCGAATCTCTCACTCTGCAACCATTCTTAAAGATCAAGGTAATCGGAGCCCTACTTCTAGTCTTCTAAGACCCGGCCATCGATTTCGTGTTAGATCTTGCAACTTCCGAACTCTGTCAAACCGAACAGTAAGCATCGCTGGCCAGAACTCGGGACCCCCAGCCATGGAGGTATGCTGCGTCTCTGCAGCACGTATATAGGGCCTGAGCGTGGTCATTAAATTGGTCTCTTCTGGCCATGGAAGTGAACCTCCGGAACTCACCCTAAGAGTATCCGGAGACCCAGTCACTGGCCCCCATGGACTCTCTGGTGTGGTCCGGCACTGAGTTGTGGAGCAGAAGTGCGCTTCTCGACTGGATACCAGTCAGCAGCTGTCCATGTGCTGTTCAAGTGAATAAATCTACAAAAACTAGGATGGATCGTGAGACTGGGCGATGTCTATTCGTAATCTCCATCCACGCACCTACCCACTGCTTTCCGGATGATGCAAAAGATAAATTCCATGCGGGGATGTCAACTTTGCCGCGGAAAGCAAAACTTTCAGATGTTGTCATAATGGCGCTGACCCTCGAGTAGGTAAGTGAAGCCAATCGGAAAGGCATCTTGGGGTTATTTGCCGGATCCCACGTCAACGGACCGAAAACGGTGATCGTCTGCTGCAATTTTGCCCCGACAATAACTAGTTTCTGGCCGGCGCCAACTTTGAGCGTAAGAAGAGATGCCGCCTCGCGTAGCACCTGCAGACGTCAAACCAGCCGTGAACACAGGCAGATCACATTGCTATAAGCCGTTGTCGGAGGGGATCGGTGGAAGATTGCCACCCTTTCTGTAGCATCTGTTTGAACTCTAATCAAGCCCTAGCATATGATTGCTTGTGTCTGTGCCTTACCAGCCGAAGAAAACAAGGAGCACTGAGGCCTGTCCGTGCTCGATCGGTAGATGAAGGCGTCAAGTACGTACCTAGGGAGGAGTTGGCTAAACATTTACCCGAAAAGGACAGCAGTGCTTATCCAAGGGAATCCTGGTGTAATAGTGAGTCTGTTGAAACGTTGGTGAAGGCAATTCGAAACCCTTATGTGAAGGTTTGCAAACATCGCTGAATTTCCGTGACGCATCCAAACCAGTAGATGCGAGGAGACCGATTCCAACTTGCTCTGGCTGCGATGAAGAGTTGACCAGGGGTCTTCGCATTGACCCCCAGCAGTGGTTCATAACGAAAGCGACAGAGATGGAGGAGGTACCAGTGGTAGGTGACACACTAACTATCCAGGCATACTAAGGGTATCGGCAATAAGAGGACGACGGTATGGGAATTTATCACCAAAGAGTACGGACGCTGATAACCTCCTAGGGTGGGCGGCTGGAACATTGTATGGAACAATTTGAAGCCAAATTCAATTGCCCCTCGCGATTCTTCAGTTGCCCGATACCCGGCCTGAACTTTAGTGACACGCAGATGTCGGCACTCCAATAAATATATAAATACCTTATTCTCAAGGTTTGAAGTTAACATGAGGGAAGCCGGTTTACAGGCCTCATCAAATTGATAATTGCAGAGAAACATAAAAGTTTTGAATGGTACATAGGGAGGATATTAAACTCTCTCATGATATCAAGTGTCTAAATGTTATGAAAATAGCAGGAAAATATCACTTTACAGTGCATACATATCGTTCTGAGCTTAGATCATTCCTACTCAAAATTCTGTTTCCACGTCAAGTGGCACAATATTCGGTGTTTGCGTTATGAGTAGTCGACATGATTGACCCATCTGCAGAACCCAGTGTTTCGTCAGACAAATGTCTAGCTTGACAGTGATTCTTATGTTCGTAGATTTATTGGCCAATAATAACTTACTTCGATGATTTCAGGAATAAGTAAGTATCCATACAATCATTTAGTCCAGGTGAATGTCTAAGTTCAGGCGTTTCTCGCTCTTCAAGTGTTACCTTTTTCGGCTATTCAGATTAGCGACATTGAAAACATCTATTGTCGCGCAAGTAATTAAAGAATGGAAGAATCATCGTTCAACAATGGTGAATATTACACACGTATACAACTTCATAGACTTCACTTTAAAGTATGCAACAATGTCAAAGAGATACATTGACTATTAATTGATTTCTATTAGACGAACTGATACAAGACAAAGTAATAGATAAATCTGTTGCATAGCACTATTATGGATGTATTGCCCTTAGT